GGGTAAACCCCTGTTCTCCGAATTTCCCCTAAATGAACAACCTCATCCCAACTGAACTCCCCTTACCAAGGGGCAGTGGGCAGAGCCGGGCGGGCTTCGCGCACCTCCGCTGGGCTGGGGGTGGGGGCGGCCCCCTCCGCCTTTTTGGCCCGGGACGAGAAAGTTCCCGCGAGTCCCCCGACGGTGCCGTGGTATGAGACCTGAAGCAGCCATGAAATTTCCTCGGTAAAATCCGCGGGGTTAGAGCAGTAGCCATAAACTCTTTAAGGGACTTGCATAAAACTGGGAAGAAATTCCCGACACTAAAACAACTTCAGGGAGAACGGGGAACCTGTCTGCTTTTAATTTTCTTCTTTCTTGTCTGGTTTTTTTTTTGGGGGGTGGGTTTTTTGTTTTGTTTTGGTTTGGTTGTTTTTTTTTTTTTTATTTTTTTGGTTGTTATTTTTTCCGATTTTATTTTCGTTATTATTTTTGGTATCTTTTTACCAAGAGTGTTTTGGCCACCGAAGCTACAAATGTTTTCCAGAAATAAGTCCCCTTCGTTAAATGTAGGGTACTTCTGCTAGAAACGCCTTGCATAGCTCCATAGTTATTCCCGATGCCATAAAACGACCGTTTACACAAACGTTTTTGGTATAGTTGCCTTTCAGGCGACTTAAGACGGAAAAGAAAGATGCTTGTCTCTTGCCCTAACTTTTTTTTCCTTCTGCAAGAAGCTGTAGTGCTATGACAGATAGATGAGCATCCATACAATGACTTTTCTTCTTTTTCTTATTCTTTTCTGATGGTGGATTCTCTTCGGTCAGGTTTCCAGGCAGAATCAAGCGCCAGATTCCTACCATGATAAAGGCAGAGAGCACCCCGAGGAAGGTGAGAAGAGCACCGTCCTGTCTTGCAATATTGTCTGTCCTAGTTCCCCTGTGAGCCTCCACACGGTCCTCAAACTGGAGCTTGGTTTCTTTTGGGAAACATAAATTTAGTACCTTTTGGAAGAGAGGGGTGCCAGGGTGCTCTTGAAGCACATTTAAAAAGGAAATCAATGTCCAGGACGTTTATCTTGAGTGACCAAATGGTATTTCGATTGTTTAGAAACTGATAAGTAGGCCAAATGGATCTTCGCTGAAGAAATAACTATTTTTAGGATATCAGCTTAAACACATCTACGTCTTCACTCATACAGTGCAGCCGAGTTGTGGGTGTTCAGAAACTCAGTGCTTTTTCCCCGTAGCCAAGGTCTGTGGCTTAAATCGCCTCTTCCAAGTCTAAGCATGAACTTCTTGCTTTTTTTAACATACCAGCTGGTTAATTTTGATTGAGGAGGACAGAGGAAATGACAGAGTTCGCTGTATATCACTTAGGAAGCTGGACACACGCACAAAGAACATGTGCTGTAAAGGATGGGAGATTATGTTTAAAATGAAATGCTTATCACCATGAACTAAACCAGATCATAAATTCCATATAAAGACAGACACAGTTCAGTCCTGGTGCTTTCCGGGACTCTGTGGCAATCATAATCCGAATTGGTTATTAAACAGCCTAAGAGCAGTAATGCCCATGCTCGCAGTATCTTGCCAGTGAGGGGGAGGAGGTCAGCTCTGTAGTTTCCTTTTCAGCCTTGCATCCTCTTAAAACCTCACTTTCAAGTAGTATCACTGTGACTGGTCATGTATGTGGGAGACCTGTTCACTCCCCTTTTCAGGACCTAGACTCAAATTCTTCGTTTTCCTACAAAATAACTGCCCTCATTTGGCTTTTTTCTTGTCTGTAGTGCCATGTGTGTTCAACAGTCCACTCCCCAAAATCATTAGGGTCTCCTTCCAAGCCAGCCCCTGCCCTCTGATTGTTGCCGATGAGCGTGGCCAGAATGAATTGTTTGCTGCATACAGTGGCTCATCAAGAGAAGGAAATGATTACATCTAGTTATCACTGCCCTGTTCCTCCCTTTCCTAACAATGACGCTGGAAACCGGTATAGGCAATACTTCTGAATCACAAATCCTAGAGAGATGTATAAATTGGGGGAAAACTGCTACTTGAGAAATGTGATGTCATTGCTGATGTTTCTGCCTGGATTTGAGCAGGGACTAGCAAAATAAATTGGTTACTCTGAGGCTGTTCTGTATTTTAAGCATAAACTCCTCACTGGGAGTACTTGTTCCTTTAAGAATTAACTCTTCTTGAAAAAATGTTATTACAAATTTTTGTGATCCCTTTCTGTCAGAGGTAATTTCCATGAGTAAGGAAACGTTTGCATGCAAAATATTTTTATGAATGCACAGTACCTGTTTAAGTGCTCTAACTTACAAGAAACGCGTATGTGGGGAATAATGTAATCATTGTTTCCTCTTCCATAGGAAAGCATCCAGACAGTGGCTTATACAGCAAGGGACCATCATACTCTGGTTATTCTGGGTATATCATGATGCCAAATATGAATAATGACCCGTACATGCCTAATGGATCTCTGTCGCCACCCATCCCCAGAACAGTGAGTTATCTCTTCCAAAGACTGGTTTTGGCGAGCTGGGTTTCCTCATGTTCATCCTGCAGTGTGTGTTCATGCCGGGGATTTTTGAGTAGCTTCAGTTATGGTGAAGGTTGCACTCCAGAGCCTCCATCCAGTGGAGTTTGAGAGCTCTTAGAGGTGTTGGTCGTGATCACAGTGGAAAAGCTGAGATTAACGTCTGTGGTGTCTGACGTCCTTTGAACCGGGCTGGGGGCTTGGAGGGGGGGAGCCCTGGTTTACGACTGTAGGATAACGTATGGCGGAATGATGTAAATGCCGTCTTTGTAGTGACTGGGACAGATGTGAATTTTCTGGCTTTAACTCTTCATTTGTTGAGGAAAATTGAGGGCTGGAAGCAGAACTGCTAAAGTTGCTTGTCAGTAAGATGAAAAGATTGGATTCTTTTTTTTTTTTTCTTCAGATGTGGCATTGCTCTTTGTTGATTGATATTTATTTCTGCCATCAGTTGCTCTGCGTGAAGGCTTTATGTGTCTGGCAGCATTGCTTTGAAACATACTCTGTATCTTTAGCCACAAATTGTGAAATACTCATTTAGGAATTAGTATCAACTGTGATGTAGTAGTTGCAGCTTTCTTTTGCATTGTGGCAGGCACTGATTCTTTCAGGTTGGTCCCTCTGCTTCCATTGGTGTAGACGCACGCTAGTGGCTTTTAATGTAGTTTTAATTTTGAGTAGTCGATTTCCATTTATTTTTGTAAACCTCTTGTATACGTATAAAGCGATGGGGAGGCAATGTTAAAACAAGCTGTGAAAATTATATTAGCAGAACTAGAGTGGAGTGGGAAACAAATTTGCTTGTCGGCATCCTAATTCCTGCTGCAGTTGTATGTGCTGTGATATGAGAAGTTGTATGCTGTTATTTCCCTGTGATAAAGCTGTTTTCCATGTTACTTGGTCTTAAATTTTTACTTGTCGGTCTCTGTCAAACAGCTGGGATTATTTTGTTCTTCAGCACTCTTGATTTTTCTTCAGGGTTGTGGCTTTTTCAAAAGCAAAAAAGAGGAGGCCTAATCTGTATTGGTAATTGACAGTAGCAAAGTGTGTTAAATTAGTGGATGTTTGGATTCGGAATGACAGGGCAGTTTGGCACTGGGAAACACTTGAATCTGCCCTTTTTATATGTCACCGTTTATGTTTGAAATGTTTGAAAAACCTCCTGCAGCATATTGCTTTCCACAGCTTGGGGGGAAAAAAGTGTATAAATTACAGTTCAGAGGCCTACAGCCATTTAGGGTGAAGCATGATGACCATGGTCTGTTGGTATTTGTCATTGTAAATGCTGCTCTACAGAAGACTTCAGTTCAGATGTATTGTGGGAAGAGCATGCAGCTTCAAGAGAGGGCACTGAAACTGAGAGCTCAAACCTGCCCCTTTTAGGACCAGGAAACTTCAGACCTTTTTTTACCCTCTCTTTCCCACGTTACCTTCCTAAGAAACTCCCTAGTGCTGGTGCAAGGCTTTGAACAACAAAATCCAGTTTAATTATTCACTGAGGATTTTCTCTGCGTATGCATGCTGTGGGGCTGCCGCTCTGCACTGATCTGGCATTGACACCCCCAGAATAGTGACTTCTTGCAGGAGGCTGTCAGCTCAGGTACTTGAAGAACCATCCTACGTGGGTATGTTGGAGGGGAGGAGGGGGAATACACATCTGCTTTCTAATTGTGAAGCTGCCTGCTGAA